CCTCTGAAAATTTGGTTTTTACTGCCACTGTTTGTCTTGCTTAGCCTCGGCAGCCATGGTTACATGACAATCATTGGTGATAAAAACTAAAGATGTTTCTGTATTGATTTTTTTATTTTCTCCATTAAATAGAGTCAGCAAAGTAGTTAGTGGACTACTGATATACACTGATGAATTACAACTATGGTGGTTAATTGGCCAACATTTAGTGATTGTGAGATTATTTGCATCAGCTAATTAGGAGATGCATGATGCAATCACCGGCCACTTTTGTAGGTACACCTGTCCAACTGCTCGTGAACACAAATTTCCAATCAGCCACTCACATGGCAGCAACACAATGCACTTAGGCATGTAGACATGGTCAAGACAAACTGCTGCAGATCAAACTGAGCATCAGAATGGGGAAGAAAGGTGATTTAAGTGACTTTGAACGCAGCATGGTTGTTGGTGCCTAACGAGCTGGTCTAAGTATTTCAGAAACTGCTGATCTGCTGGGATTTTCACGCACAACCATCTTTAGGCTTTAGAAAACAAGAAATTGTCCAGTGAGTGGCAGTTCTGTGGGCGTAAATGCCTTGTTGATGCCAGAGGTCAGAGGAGAATACCCAAACTGGTTGCAGCTGATAGAAAGGCAACAGTAACTCAACAATTACCACTCATTACAATCGAGGTCTGCAGAGGAGCATCTCTGAATGAACAACATGTCCAACCTTGAGGCAGATAGGTTACAGCAGCAGAAGAACACACCAGTGCCACTCCTGTCAGCTAAGAACAGGAAACTGAGGCTACAATTCACACAGGCTCACCAAAATTGGACAATAGAAGATTAGAAAAACTATGCCTGGTCTGATATGCCTTGATTTCTGCTACAACATTCGGATGGTAGGGTTAGAATTTGGCTTCGACAACATAAAGGCATAGCTCCATCCTGCCTCGTATCAACTGTTCAGGCTTGTGGTGGTGTATTGGTGTGGGGTAGAGGTCTGCATTCCCGCGGGCGCCGCAGGACCCGACCAGATTTCTGCGGCGCGGGAATAAATTTCCGAATAAATCGCGGGAGCGGTCGGTAACGGGTTTAATTTGGGACGGGAGCGGGCTGTCTAGCAATATCGCAGATATTGCTATGCGAATGAGAGAGAGAGAGAGAGAGAGAGAGAGAGCGAGAGCGAGCGAGCTTTGTCTGTGTGTGTGCTTGGTGCTTGTGTGTGTGTATGTTAGTGCGCGCGCGCGAATGAGAGAGAGAGAGCTTTCCCAGATAGCAAAATACACTCGGGCCAGTTCCGGCTAGATTCTCGCCTGCCGGAGACTTACCACTCAGCCCGGCTCCGGCTGCCGGACTCCGGATGCTTGTGGACTCACTGCCCGATTCCGGCCCGAATCAATCGGGCCAGATGTGGCGGCCGTAAGCGAGCCGACGCTGCCGCATCCGCGCCGGAATCGGCCCGAGAGTAATGCGCGCTGCGGCCCGGAGCTGGCGCGACTCAGTATTTATATACCTTTATATAAAACCTTTTGGTATTAGTGGTAATAGGTAGGTAGGTAATAGTGCGCGCGCACGTATGAGAGAGAGAGATTGGTCTGTGTGTGTGTGCTTGGTGCTGTGTGTGTGTGTTTATACAGACAGCTTGGCTGTCTGGACTGTATAGCTGGGGGATTTTCGGTTTTGTTCTCCCCCGCTCTTTAGCGGGATCGGGCGCGGCGGCCAGAAAACGGGGTGGGTCGGGCAGCGGGACAATAAATTCTTAATATAAGCGGGAGCGGTCGGGTTCGGGCTAAAACCTGGCGGGTGCGGGCGGGAGCTGGATTCAAAATTTGGTCCCGCGTAGATCTCTAGTGTGGGGGATATTTTATTGGCACACTTTGGGGCCATTAGCACCAATTGAGCATCGTGCCAACACCATACTACCTGAGTACTGTTGCTGACCATGTCCATCCTTTTATGACCACAGTGTACTCATCTTCTGATGGCTACTTCCAGCAAGATAACGCACCATGTCATGAAGCATAAATAATCTCAGACTGGTTTCTTGAACATGACAATGAGTTCACTATACACAAATGCCCTTCACAGTCACCAGAACTCAATCCAATAGAGCTCCTTTGGGATGTGGTGAAACGGGAGATTTGTATCATGGATGTGCAGCTGACAAATCTGTAGAGTAATGCTATCATGTCAATATGGACCAAAATCTCTGAGGAATATTTCCAGTACCTTGTTGAATCTATGCCTAGAAGGATTAAGGCAGTTCTTAAGGCAAAAGGGGGTCCAACCCAGTATTAATTAGGTGTACGCAATAAAGTAACCGGTAAGTGTATATCAGTGGCCATATTGATATCAGCAGATAGGTGCTATTTTTAATGTTAACACTATCAAAAACAAAATTAAGCCAATAATATAGGCTGATAAATTATATAAGTTCTGTTGGCTGTACCACTCTACATGCTTGCTGCCTAACTCTATTATTTATTAAAATTTAGTTTTTGGTTAATGTTAATTTTGTTTAATGGTTAATGTTAATTTTGGTTAATGTTAATGTTAGATTTGGTTGCTTTATTCATGGATTAATTAATATTTATATTTAAGGCTAATAGAGAGGCTATCTGCCTCCAAAATTCCATATCTGTGCATCCCTACAGCCAATCGCTATATTGGGTGATGAGAAATCTGCCTTTCATCTGTTGTTCCTTGACATCTTTTGTGGAAAAAAAATTCAAACTGCAGAGATTTTAATCCCAGAATGCAGTATGGCAAGCTAAATTAAGATGTTAAATTAACCATACAGTAACATTGGAATAAAAAACATTATAGTGATGATCAATTGTTATGATTAAATATTTTTAGTTTAATAGTTTAAAATTACATAAAAATTATAATATATTTTTTGGAAATATGACATACTATAACTACTAAGATAATCTATTGTATTGTAAAAATATATGGTTACGCATTTACTATACATTTAAAACTTATTAATGGACCACATAATTTATATAACACTAGAAATGATTAAACGTAAAACTTTAGATTGTAAATGCGTTAATGCACTATTATTATTTTATGCAAATATCTCGGGATGATTTTACATCAAACGATTACTATGACGATAATAAGAATATTACATTACTATGTATATATTTGATAAACAATACACTTAATATGAATATTCGTCATTTTAAATGATATACTTTATTATATTTATATTGTTAAGATTGCCAGTGGTGCTGTTTCCGCTGGCGATTTACTTACAGTAGTTTGTTGCAATCACCAGCAGAGTTTTCTATATGGGAGATAACTGCTGAACGAACTACAACTCCCAGAACCCCCTTGCTCTCATCAACTCCTGCAACAGCTGACAATAATCTAAACACTCACATAAAAACACAGCTGCTGCTCATCTACACTGATTACAAGACTATATATATATCTCACCTTTATTTACATGTTGCTTTTACATGAGTCTTGTCATACTGAACTGTGAAGATTATCCGGCAATTTCCTTGCCTTTCCATGTTAGACCTTTGCTTTGTTGTTTTGTTAATTTCCGTTGTCTGCTGCCTGCCTCCTGACCATTCGCCTGTGTATTCGACTACGACTCTGGGATTTCCTGTGTACATCTGTTTGCCCCTTTGTTGACCATTGCTTGACTGACCATTCTTAATAGACCCGCGTTTGGATCTGCACTTCCTTGTGAGCGTACCATTCACATTACATATACAATTATAGATGTATTATAATTAGTGTGGTTTAACAATTAATCGTGACTAATCATGTAGTCGTATTTAAAATAAAGTTCGTATTTACATAATATTACAAGTTATATTGCAAAATAAGTGTACATAAATGCACACACCACACATACATGTATATACTTTTAAACTATTTCTATATAATTTTATCTTCTGTATAAATATTTTATACATAAATTTAAATAAGCATTTTATATACATATAGATGGATGTGTGTATTTGTACATATAAAATGTATATGTAAAATATATACATTTTATTTTGTATGTTTTTAGTCGTGAATAACTCTTTAGCTTAGGGATGCACCGATACCATTTTTTTGGAACTGATCCGATCTCGATACTAAAATTCTGAGTATCGACAAATACAGATCTGATCCTGATACTGTGCCATTTTTTATTATTTTTTTTATGAACATAATACAGTTTCTGTAGTTCTGGTGATAAACTCAAATAATATATCTTCTTTAGTAAAAATAACAGACCTACAGGCCTACTGTATATGACAGATGGCACAATCTTACTAAAACAAGATGCTTGCAGTAAACTAGGCTACATTGTTTGAGCATTCATTATGACATTGATAAGATCTGTTGTGGTCGAGCTTATGTTTCCTTTTTAATGTTAAGAATTTCTTTGTGTAATAAGCTACCACTATTGACCCTAATCGTTGATAAAATAATCAGCCTTTTAGCAAAACCTGATATTTTCCTGCAGGTTTGAAGCAGACTAGTCCATCTGAGGCCAGTTTTACTTAAGGGCCATGAAACCCCCCAGTTTCGGCAGGGTTCACACTTCTACTTTGGAAAAAATCAGGAAAGTGGGCGTGTCCAGCTTTGTTTAGGGGGGAGTGCATGGTCAGTAAAAATTTGCATAAAATTGGGAATGTGGGTTTGGGGATGCGCTGATTTTCACACAGGCAAAACAAACACAGAAACATAAGAGAAAGACAGTGACTGTGTTGACATGGACATCAGTAATCAAATTATTTGTTAAATTACTGAATGGTGGACTTTAACTGCAGTTTGGCTCTTTCATTCAGGAATTTCTTTCATACCACTCGTGACAAACAAGATATTTGATTTGAGAAATTGCTGGAAGCGTGTATCTTTCATGCAATGTTTGTTACCGCACGGCGAATGAGAGAAAAACAACCCTCCGCATTTCTTTGTAACTTAGATGCACGTTTAAAGATACACTTTTAAATTAGACATTTAATTAAAGAGATACAGACTTTCTCAATCTTCTCACCTGTGTCCATCTTGCTATCCTGAGCTGCAGGTCCTTCAGGAATGACGCTCTTGACCTGCAGGAACTCATCCGGCTCATCGCCACCGATAATGGTGAAGCCGAAGCCCATGTTGCTCTTCTGCAGCACCGTTGTGAGGAACGTCCCTTTGAGCTGCGTGGCATCACGTGTGAACGGGGGCTTTTCTGTCGAGACAAACACAAACAAACAGTCAGACGATAAAGAACAACACACTTCACAACCATCTCCACTGGATGGCCTTTTGGTGCTTTGGTCACTAGGGTAAAATAAAGTAAACCCAACACCAAGCAAACCAAGCAGGTGAAGATGGCATAAATGGGCCACAGAGAAAAGCAGTACCTCTATATATGGTGGGCAATGGCAGCGCCGATAGACCTTGACTTTGCATTTGCTGCTGCTGTTGGATCCTTCGTTTGGCCTCTAGGACGGGGTTCTCAAACTGTGTCCTTCTGTTAATGTGGCTGCGGGGCAGAGCGTGCAGATATTAAAATCTGCGCCCCGCACACGCTTTACTGAAGAGCATGAAGCGGGCGATTTGGGGTCAGATTTTCTAAGTATTTGGGGCTTGGAAGAAGAGATTTGAACAACTTACTCAACATAGTAACTGCCATAAATAGGGTCGTCGATTTTCTCCCAGCCATATGGAAGTTCTGTAAAAAGAAAATAAAAAATAAGATGGTCGGCACCTTGTTGCAAATCTTGCTGATCCCTGATGCATAAATAAATTGAGCGGATTAAATAAACTGTATACTTATATACTATATTCCCTTATGTATAACTTAGTGAAATTCAATGTGGTCTGGGTTGAATTTTTCGTTTCCTTGCATAAATAAGTTCAAATCAAATGAAACCAAATTATATAAATTGTAAGGGTATGGAAATTTTTTATCACGATTTTTAATATTACCACAGTTTGGTTCAAAATGACCTAAATATTTTCCAAAATAAATGTCACACACACTTAAAGAAAATAAAAATTTACTTTACTTTAAAATTTTATTTACTTACTCTATTCCTTTACTAATTTCTAAAATTAAAAACCTTGGGAGTTTCTTTTAAAGTTGAACACAAACGAAGATAGTTTGAAGAATGCTGAAAACCTGTAACCACTCGAAGGTGAGTAAACAGTAAATTTGTTTTGCATCTGAAAATAAAATAAAAAGCAAACAAAATGTGGAGCTTTAAGCGATATAGTGACTAACAACATAAAAAAAGTTCTGCACTGTTTGGATTTGTTCACTTATGTTTGTATTATTTCATGTACTGTGTTTTTTGTGTGTGTTGTTGTAGGAACTGTTGATTTTTTTTTTTAATTTAAGGTATTTTTTTGTTGAACTACCTCACGGGGGTGCACGTTTACCTTATTTTTCACCAAGCTGCATACAAAGCTGTGAAAATAACTGTGATTTTACTGAGTGATATTGCGGATAGTACTCTATGAAGCACATTCTTTAAATGAAAGGAATATAACATACTTGAACTGTATATTTACATATATATTTATGAACTTTCTGTATAAACATGCATTTACATAACAGCTAATGGCAATTTTACAGGATTTGTAGCGAGTTTTAAAAATCACAATAATCATTCATGGTTTTAAGAATGAATATCTGAAACTGCAATACTGACTGTCAGAAAATGTATAGTGGTTTGGTTTATCTGAAAAAAAGCTTGTCGTGACAAAAATATAATCTATAATCAGAAGTTTATCAATATATTTTTTATTTTGAATATGTAAAACTGCTTTAATGTGAAGTGCTTTAATATTAATATTAAAAAACTTATGTTTAAAATACAATACATGTTTATTAAATTATTAACTGTTATTGTTATTTTTTAAGTATGATAACACATTTACATATGTGTGTATACATGGGCAATGTACATACTTTTATACGGTTAAATGTTCCACAATGTAATTCAAAAGCATAAATAAATGGGGAACATTTTTAAATAAAAACATGAATCACAATATATGAAAAATGGCTAATTTACATTTTTTGTATACTACACATTATTACAGTCATCAAATATGTACATATACATATATGTATGCATATATTTGCAATGCATATATAAATACGCGTTATTGAAAAATAACAATACTTGATGTTTGAATAATCTCGTGCTAAACTTTATATTGTATATATTTATATATATATATATATATATATATATATATATATATATATATATATTTTTTTTTTTTTTTTTTTCTACTGGAGAAAGACTTATTGTTTTATTTCGGCTAGGATAAAAGCAGTTTTTAAGATTTTAAACACCATTTTATGGTCAATGTTATTAGACCCTTTGTGCTATATATATATATTTTCAATAGTCTACAGAACAAACTATCGTTATACAATAACTTGCCTAATTACCCTAACCTGCCTAGTTGACCTAATTAAGCTAGTTAAGCCTCAAAATATCACTTAAATCTGAATGCTAGTATCTAGTAAAAAAAAAAATCTAGAAAATGATCTAGTCAAAAATGATGTGCTTTACTTCATTAGATTTATTTATTAATGTCAAATCAGTTATTTGTATGATCATATCTTAGTGTGCAGAACACTCTTTGATTCCAATAATAATCTGCTCATAATATTAATTGATTTTAAAAAGTATCATCCTTCTATTTAAAATGCTTGGCATTAGCACTGTTTATGAAAAAATAACAAAGTTGACCCTTGCTTTCCTTCATATTGCATGATTTAATCAGCCTTGGAGTGAATAATTTTCATAATCCAATATTTAGAAATAATTACAAAAACACTGAAAGGAGAATATGCAACCTTAAGGAGCAAAAAATAAATAAATAAATAAAAATGAGCCATTTAATGCATGGCACGTCATGAAAACATTCCTCACAGTTTTCATTATAGCCGAGCCCAGTCCAGTAAATCAATAACCCCAGGGATGCCTGCGGTGTATGATAATACTTGCAGGCAAATCAGTCTAGACGTCTTCTAAAAACACACATTCCCGGCACACGCCAGAATTTCAATTCGGCACCCCGAAACAATCCAGCCGGCCGCTCAAGCTGGCAGTCGGTGTGTAAAACAAAGCTTAATTAGGACACACAGCGGTAAGTGAAGGGAGATCTGGCAGCCCGAAGGTTAGTGCCAACATACTTTCATGCCATTCAATCCGCCTGAGATTCACAAAACAAATGAAAACGCTGACAAAATGACAACAAAAGGGCCGTCATCAAATGCAGAACTCGAGATGCTGTTTCCTGTTGCTTTTGTTTTGAAGCCAAATTTGATATTATTGAAACATCAGGAAGAAATGAGACACGGGTGCAAACTCGCACAGTAATTATCAAAAACATCACCGGTTAAATGTGCCGGCATTCCTCACAAACACGTTAAAATACGCAGATACATCGTGAATTTATTGTGGGAGACTGGAGCGCAGTAAACATGCAAATCAAGCTCATATAAACAAAAGGCCAACATAACTCATATCTTTTCAGACAGCCCTTCTACAGTAATTAACTTCACAGATGGTGTTTTTTTCCAAGTCACTCAATCAGAGCCGGGTTATGGAAACACACTCTAATTTCCTCTATTATTTCTTGCTATGGACATTATTTGTACACTTTTTTTCATGTGTGTGATATGATTTTCAGATCTCTGCTGTAACTAGGTGTAGTTTTCTTTGCTTTCTTTAAATTTTACAGCAAGATGACAATGTCATTTATACTTAATAAACATTATATCATTATAATAGTCATAGTACAGCCTATCAAACACACAGAACTACCAGTGTTTCTCAACCACGTTCTCGGAGGATCATCAGCTCTGCACATTTTCCATGTCTCTCTAACCAAACACACCTGATTCAGATCATCATGCTCATTAGAAGAGACTGAAAGGCCTGTATAGGGTGTGACAGACTAAGGAGACATCCAAAACATGCAGCGCTGGAGGTCCTCAAGGAACGTGGTTGAGAAACACTGAACTAAACAATGCCCTGGCAACAAACCTGTCCTATAAAACACACAGAATATTATACCGTTCACCTGAAATGCCCTTACAACCCTTATAGATCAGCCTAGCAACTACTCAGAACACGCAAGCAATCAAGAAACAATGCCCTACCTCGCAGAATAGAACACACACAACGTAGAATAGATTAACCATACAGAATACACTAGAAAAGTCTTGTAACACCTTAGCAACTAAATAACATTCGATAACAACTTAGTAACCACCAAAAAATTATTTAGCAGCTTGCTAGAAACTACTTTGAACACCTACAGCATCCTGTAGTAGCACTGTTCTTTAAAACCACTCTGAACACCTACAGTAGCAACAACTTACACCACAGAAACCGCTAAGCAATAGACTGATTTTACGCGGCCGCCATTTTTTAAAGCGAAATCGAGGCTACGATTTGAAGAAACCCGGAAGTATCGTTGGGAGTTACATAGAAACGTTGTGCACTTGGCTGTATCAGCGAAGATAAAGTGACACAAATTTATCATGTTACCGCCTTCCGAGTGACCCGAAGGTCCGTTCTGAATGAATGGTGAAAATAAAAAGAGATATCAGAGCTCATTTTCAGCTAAGTTAAGGGAAATGGCACTACTTAGCTAATGTTTTCTTTCCCAAACACACATTTTAGATGCCATTTATCAAGCTTGAGTTAATAAACTGATTTCTTTTACTATATTAGACTTGTCATGATACTGACTTAAAAGAAAAAACGTGATTTGCCATTGTGTTCACGTGCTCGACAGAAATGCTTGTGATTGGCTGAGAAGATCATCAGTTCACCCTCTGCTATCCGGTCTCCATGTATCTGTGTTTGCACTGGGTGAAGAGCGGTAAACTGAGTGCAAACACAGATACATGGAGACTGGAGCGCGAAGCAGCTGTGAAGATCAGTCGAGTCCTCTGCGCTCAGCGGCGCTTCAATGTTAGTGGGAAATAGACGGTTTTAAAACTTCTCTACATAGGTTACATAGGCTGAAGCAGGAAAGCATTCCCACTGTGTTTAACTGGTGCCATGAACTAAAGCCTAGCAGGACACTTAAGCGTATTACTCTTACAGATGATGTCTGATGCTAAATTGCTTTTAATTGTTTAAATTAAACTTACTGAATGATATTAAAGTGATGGTTATACCATTTCTGCATTTTGAAATCATGGCAACAGCTCGAGGTTTATAGTCCACAGCACGTTACCGCAATATTTACAGAGCTGGTCCAATACTTCCAGGTTTCTTCCCACCGCAACCTCGATTTGGTTCTTTAAAATGGTGGCCTAGTGAAATAAGCCTATGAGTTAGCATTCAGTCACCAATGTGACTAACCCAAACACCAAAGTGACCAGCAAAAAAAATCTTACTCCGAATACACTAAAAACAACTAAAAAGTGCTTTAAGAGCTGCCTAGAAGCCATCCTGAACTCCTTATTAATTAAAAAACTATGCCCTAGCAACAGTTCAAAATTCCCTACAAACCTCAATTTAACCACTGAGTAACTTCATAGCAAATTCCTAAAAATGTTCAAGAAACCTCGTAGAATAGAACACACAGCAACATAGAATACATCAACCATTCAGAATACACTAGGAAATTAAAACCTTAAAACCATAAAACCTTAGCCACCACTAAACAACATTCAATAACTATTTAGCA